TTTTTAGTACTTTATTTAATTACCATTGAATATATTCTTCTCTTTTTCTTCTTTTTCCCTTCTTTCAATCTCTCTTTATTTTGTCTGTATCCAACATGTTATATTTTTACATACAAAAATATACATTTAATATAAAAATATCTATCTTTTCTCTTCTCTTGTTGTTTTTTTTCGTTTGTTATATTGTTTTTGTCTCTTGAAAAATAATTTATTTCAAATAATCTTATTATAGTTACAAAAAATATTTTGATAAACTATAAAGACTTTTATAAAATTGATATCTAAATATTAATAATTAAATTTAGTAAATATTACGTATGATTACACAAACATTCCGTGGCAAATATTTCTATCCTTTAAAAGGCTCGTAATTTGCTTGCCGCATTCTGCTTTGCAAAGTACCATAAAGTATTGGTAAAGAATAGTTACGCAACAATTTTCATCGTTCGGCCATCATGATTAAAGTCGATGAAACTGTTTAATACTCCTATTAGAGTTGGTAAGTGTTTAATGGCGCTATATTGGTGTGTTCCTCATTATTAGCTCTACTATAGTGATATGATTGGCCGTAATATCCGACTAAAGAATAGCATAAAATAATAATATAAAAAAATTTCCATAAACTTTTAACAGGATCTTTTCAAATACATTGCTGTAAAGCAAAAATGTATACATAATATTAAAAACAATAATTCAAAATTTTAGTATGATTTAAAATTAATAATAGAATCATAACATGTGTGGATTAAAAATATACACATGTTATTAAAAACGGATACGTTATTAAAAAAGTGTGTAAATATAAATAATTTAAGAACAAAATTTGTAAAAAGAAAAAAAATTATGAAAATGTAGAAACTTATTTATTTAATATCTTTTTCTACAAAATGTTTTAATCGAGTCGGAAAGTAAGAGTTTACTAATTTAAATTTTTAATCCTTTATAATCCTTTTTTTTCACTTCTGACGCTTTTTCCTATTTCAATATTCAGTAAAAAAATTTACTCTATTACTTATTTTTAACGCATGAATATTGATTAACAAACTTTTTTTTTAATGGAAAGCTCCATGCTTTCATCTGTTACAATTGTAATTTATTCAATATAAATTCGTCTAATATAGATTGAACCTACGAAAACGCGTAAAAAAATTATTTTCCACAGAGAGAGCAACGTGCAATTTTTAATAAAAATCTAGTTTTTTGTTCGAATCAAGCGCATAATCGGATGTTCAAGTTCACTTAAAAGCGCATGGACGATCGGATTTTACAATTAATCCGCCTTTTTCCTGTCAAGTATAAATGGACCGGGATTGTTCGCCGGAAGCAACGAGTGTTCTGCTAACGCGCATGCGGCATTATTGCGATTTAATGATACTGTCGGCCGTTTATTATGTCGCACTACGTGTTGCTGTTCGCGCTCGCTTGCTATGCCGTCGCCTATCTCGCTGGTTGTGCCTGCAAAAGCAACGGGTTATGGAGTAATAACTTGGCGCCGTGTAGTTACACCGTCGCCGTTGCACCCCCGTAAGCCAAACAACACGTCAGCCGTCGCGACGCCTACGTTCGCACAAGCGTCGTCGCGGGCTGGGCCCTTGCGATCTCTCGTCGCCTCTTGCCGCGTAAACGTTAGTCTATCTGATGTCCCTCGCGCGCCATTAAACATTTAATGGACGGCACGCTGTCCGAAAAGCACCGTTTATCATTCCGGAGCAGGCCCCGACGTGAAAGACAATGCACGTAGCTGCTCTGATCAACGATATAATACGTAGTTTTATCGCACGTGAAAAGAAATACATAGTCAGGAGGATGACTTTCAGGAATTTAGACCGGAGGATTCGAAATTGACTTTTATGCGAAAATGAAATAATTAAAAAATTCATCAAATATTGGGAAATTTCATTGTAATCGTGATAATTAATTTTCGATAAATGATATGAAATTATCACGACAATAGATTTTTATCGAAGCGCATATTTCGCGAGTTATTGATTATTTCAAATAGTAGTCGAAGAAACAAGGATAAAAATTATATGTCGGAAAATTTGAGATGTTTATTTTATTTTTATACGTCGAATATATATATGAGAAATTTATGAAACTTGAAGAAAATAAAAAAACTAATAATAAATTATTATTCTTTTCGCAATAATTGAATTTTATTATTCTGATTTATTAAAATTAAAAATGGATTTTTGACATATTTAGTTCTTTTGAAATGTGAAAATAAATTTGGCATAAAATGATATTAAATACATTTATATAAATACTTTTTTAATCAAACAAAGATCAATTATATTTTTTAAATAAATATTAGATATGCGATGTGACGGTTCAAAATTTTATTAAAAAGCGCAGAAAAGAAATAGCTTGAATTTATAAAATATTAAATATATAAATATATATATATATATATATATTTATTTCTGAGCCGATAACAAATTGTTACATAATATTTTTATATCTTATAATAGTATTATTTTTTTTTATTGACACACGATCTTATCTTTCACGTGACTATTTTTGCGACTCGAGCGAGGAAATAAGTAATGTAATATAAAATATTTTGTATTATATGTATATTGCCAAGATCTTTTCGAAAGAAAATCTGTATATTGTCACAAACGCAAAATCGCAAATATCGATAAATAATTTAACATGACATTTCATCACAACTAGCGATTAATCAACTTTTGATAAACGATACGTATCGCGGTAATAGGCCTTTATTGAAGTGCGGTATATGGCGCTTTATTGTTCACATGCTGTGACCTTGTTGTCATTCGCACGGTAACACTCGAACAGTAAAGTAATAGTGCGAAACGCTCCATACATTGTCAAATTCTGTTTCGAAACGCGATCGAGAAATTTCGCTATAAACATAACAACGATTAATTAACTTTCGATAAACGACATTTAACTGTGTAATGATAGATTTTTATCAAAACTTTATTCGCGCGAATATTTATTATTTCAAGTAAAAAGCACACATACACACATTATAAGAAATAATAATTATAAATTATTGTTGAGTATTATCCACAGATAATAATTATTTCTCTAACGAGTGAAATGTGCTTAAAGTGAAATATATTTCATGTTTTAATTTCTATCAATCTAAATGTAATCTGTCATTTAAATTGAGATCGTAATAAGACACAAATTACAGAATCGAGTAAAATAATTAAATTAAATGCATTGAAATAATGAAAAGCAGTAATATATCAATCGTTTAATCAATGATTAATTAAAATTCAAGAGACAGCATATTTCACGTAAAAGTACATATTTTACGGCAACGTAAATTAATTTGCTTTACACTGTGTTAGCGTTCATTTTTTATGTATTATTGTTTATTACAGGATTTATTTGATTGACAGTTGCCATATAAACAGTTGGAAAATTTAAATATATGTATTTTTGAATATAATAATCCGCGTATTTATTTTTAAAAATTAAATTAAAATGTTGAAAATTTAATTTTCAATTATTTGAACCAAATCCCTAATTATTATATTTTTAATTTTAACTTGTATATTTATTCATTTACGTTAGATTGCGATATAACTGTAATCTTTCGATTATATATATGAATTAAATTATAAATTATATATTATATATTAATTATATATTATAATTATATATTATAATTATAATATATAATTAATATATAAACTAATAATACTAATTATATATTATAACACATTATACACAAAATTATATAATATAATCCTCCTAACAAGTATACGTGAAAGAATCAGTACCTGAATGGTGCCTTAAGATTTAGAATAAACCTTAAGGGAAGCCTGAAGGGCACGCGCATTTAATACGCGCGTTTAATGTTCATCGTGTCGTGGATCGTGTCGTTGCATTGGATTGATATTCCGATTTCATGACTGTCATCGAGGATCATACTTTTGATGTCGATTAAATGGGATGTCTCATTGAGACGTTGCCAGGCAACGGTCTCACGCCTCATATATCGTGATGAAATGATACCGACCACATAGGGCGGTACGTTTGTATACGTATGTATGTATTTGTGCAATTTTGAACTTAGGCTCAAGTATCAGCTGATTGAGATCATGCTCTGTTCCAATAAACAGTCCGAATCGTTTAGAATTCGGTTAATGGTTTTGGAATCATCATTAATAAATCCCTTTTCTTATATCGTCTATCATAGTAATAGTAGTATGTATCGCATTGAGGGCAGTTAATTTTTTGGCATTAATTATTTATATTCAATTTTTGCTCGTTAAAGGAAGTTTAACTCTCTATTTTTTGCAAAATTGTAAATTGTTGACATTTAAAAAATATGGATATTTTCACTTTTTTCGCATCTACCAGCTTTGTGATATCACTTGTGGTAGCATCCTAGTATTTCTCAAAGTGTGATTCTTGTGTGAAATGGGATTTTTGATCATGCCAAAATTCGGAAATGCTATCTAAAATGTTGCATAAATGCGGAAATGTAATGTAAAATATTGTCATCAATACATTAATGGATTTTGACAACTTTAATAATCTGAAAAGAGAAAGTCTATGAGGAGAAACATCGAGTGCTGGCAATTCTGTGATAATTTATTTGTATATTTGTATATTTATATATTAGTTATTAATTGCGTATGCGCAATTTAAACTTGGATGTTGATAGTACAACTCTATAAATAATTTATTTGTTTATTAGTTATTAATTGAATATGCGCTATTAAAATTAAGCAATTAATCACATAATTTGATTTTTTATTTATATGATTTGCACAAGAGATAATTAGAGAAAAAAAATTTTACAAAAGTTATAATCTTGCATAAAATATATGTATATATGTATACATATTGTATATGTAGTAGAGTTTTTATTAAAATTTAAAAAATTGTTTCATCAATCTGTTTGTTCGTATGCATCGAATAATAAAATTAGACACGTAAAATAATAATTTTTTGAAATATTAATTATATTTCGAACATTACTATAATTTGTATTTTATATTTGTATGTTACAGGTAGAAAGCGCTTCAATGCTACGCTGCGCATCAGTGTCAGTGAGTGATGAATTTTTATTTTATTTTGAGGTAACGGATTTGTAGAGATCGTAGATATAGATGTAAATTGTAGATAAATCCGTTGCCTAAAAATGGATAAATTAGAACAAATTAGACTGAATATTTTATCCTAAAAAGGAAGCATTTCATTTATAGAGGATTTCACTTAATTTATTTTCTAAAAATTTTTTTAATTATGAATTAAATGATAAAAATAATTTATTCTTATAATTCATTGTATTCATTCTAATTTTTTGTAGTCTATTCATTCATATTAATTGATAATTTGGCTTGATAAGCTAAACATGTATTGAAATGATGTGAGATCCAAAGATATTTCATGGATATTCTATCGCAGAAATAAAAATTTTTATATAGATTGTTTAAAAAAATTGATTGATTAAAAAAAATATATATATATATGTATTTTATTTTGTAAAAAATAATGATAAAAGATATATAGGATGTAATAATAACATATTAATATCGATATAAAATTTCATAAAGACATATATGTGTGGGAACGTGAATTTTATAATTGATTTATACAATATTATTACATTAATTGTGTGCGGATGTTGCAAATTCATTATTTTTCCGGATCTTACATCATTTATTATAAAAGTCTTACTCTCTAATACGCTTCCGAGCGTGGTGAGATTATATGCAGCAAAAATTACGAGCAACGCGAATACGGTTTTACAATTCATGGTTTGCGTTAGTAAAATTCGTTTGTTTTTCGAACATTCATATTCATATTGTACAGTTTAACTTTAGATATTCCCGAAATCGTTTTATGATTAAAACAATAAATTTTTATTTCTGTACGATATCTAATTTTTTTAAATTTTTGCATATAATTTTAAATTAAAAAATGCAAAAAAAATTTTACAATATTTTACATGATACTAACGTGTATCTTTCGTGTTAACGACGCGCACGTCTAATAAATTACTAAGTTAACGTAAGTGAGCGCAAATAAAATCTTTGCACTTATTTTCCGGCGACAATAAATCCAACAATAGAAGGAGAATTTTCCTTTTCTGGTTAAAAGTTACAACATGGCTAGGAATATCGAAAAATAATATCTAATATTGGTTCTTTAAAAGAAGAACGATCTTCGGGAAGTGTTTTTCGTTATAAAAGCATCTCGCATGCATGTACAAGATATTTAAAAGTCAATTAAAACCCAGGTTTCTAAATAATTCCAGGTGCGCATAAATTTTGCACATTTTACAACGTTAATGAATTATTAAATATATTTGACGTATCTCACGTGTCGTTGCGTTTAACCGAGCTTTGGAAATCTCGACACGTCTCGAAGTAGATATAGATACTCTAGCAAATTACGTTTCGCCAGTGAGAGGACTTAATTAACCTTACAATCTTCAATGACGGTACAATTGACAAAGCGGAAAGCGTGAATGTGCACGGAACACAATATACCGTCCTCGGTGGTCCCTATCGATGAGGCAAAATGATGGCAGCTATAATACGCCATCGTGTCGCCTATAGTCCGACAGTCCTCCTTTCGCTCTCTCTGCACGAGCACCCTCGTTAAGCGCCTACGTGTCCGTGAATCTCAATCGGCTGATCCTGGCATATCGACATTATTTTTAAACGCTTGATCAGTCACGGTTTCGTCAGACCTCACCTTTAATCTTTCTGATTTTAAACTAAATTTTAGAAAACGCGCAAGAGATATACTAAAGCTGTGACGATTCATTATTTATGTCGTGTAATAAAATACGAATAACTGAGATTATGGACTTAATGATATAATGCATGTAAGAGTTTACATCTCGATGAAGAATTATTATATAACAAGGAAGATGGATATAAAAAATCCACGACTCGTTTCGTGCCTCTCACATACATGTACCTTCGCACGCTCACATATGCACAGCCCCGCAGCCCCGTCCTGTAGATGTACGTGCCCGCGACTGCCAAGAGTCACAAGAAGAGAGACCAGCGAAAAGCGAGCGGCCGAGCTAGGCAGCCATGTATGTACGTCACGTCTGGGTTCTGGATTACATTTATATCCCCATGCTCTCCCCCGTACGCCCGGTGAACCCAGGGGGCCGATGCGCCAATACGTGCCCATAATCTTGCCCCATACATCCTTTCACTCACTCGTGATCGCGATCCTCCACCGTCATCCCTCTCTGCGGACACGGGGGGATGTACCATATACCTTCTCTATCTCCGAATCGCACACGCGTGATGAATCTTTCGGTGCGTGTACGTGTGCATAAAAGAGCAACTGCAGATAGCGGATAACTCGGTTTCTCACGATGACTACGTTATAGATCTTCCAAAGTTAACGCTATTACTCCTGCGGGACGCTTTATTTCTGAACGATGTCTCGGTCATGACTCGAAAGCTCTTAGCTCCAGCGATTTCGCTGTATTTCGACAATGTTGGATATCGGAGCAAAAACGTCGATCCGCGAAGGCGCCGACAAGAGTTTATCAATTTGACGGAGAGGTAGGACGTTCATTTGTAGTCGTATTGTTTCGGACAATTAAATGATGGAAATGTATAACGCCATCAGTCAGAATTGATCTTAAAACTCCAAATTTTGGCAATAAAATTCCCCATCGAGTCTCTCTTCAAAATTATTATTATCAGAATATAATATAATAATAATTGTTATAATTATTATACAATGCAATATATAAAACGCGAATGATTACTAACGTACGTTGATTTTCTTCATCGGGCTCTTGAGCGCGGAAACATTTTTCGCTACAAAAAGATATTAGATTCTTTTGAAATACATTTTTGATGATATTCCTTGTACATAAAAGGTATTTTCATTTGAAGGCGAAGGTATCTGGTATCGATAAGCGCCGGAAAAGAGCGTCCTCCAACTTTTTCCTCTAAAATCCGACCCGTATTCCTCGGTTGTTCTCTCGCTCTTTCTTTCCTCCCTCTCCATCCCGTATAGAGGTGATTTACGAGGAAGGCTTAACACAAGCTGGTTTGTTTTTATCAATAGTTAATTCGCAATTTACATCCGTTTAAATATTCATACCGCCGTCGCCGTGAAAACCCGGAGCTTTCGGTCCTCCGCATACTTATTCGCGAATCCCCCTTCTCTCTCGCTCTTCTTTTCTCCCTCTCTCTCTTTCTCTCTCTGTGTTATATCTCTATTCTTCTTCGCCCTTCTCTCTTTCCCACTTTTTCTCTCCTTTAACGTTCCCGTAGGAACGACAAAACCCAGCCGGATACGTTCGAATGCTTCCGCAAGCCGAAATCTCCCACGCATTAAATTCTAAAGCCGCTTTCTAGTTTCGCGACCTACCTACTCTCTTTCTCGCACATGATGACTCGGCGAACAAGCTTTTCGTGTCGCCAAAACTTCCTCTCGAAAACACTGCGATTGCGGTTACATAGGCGTCGCGAACGCGGTCAATGTGTTTGTCAAAGAGAAAAGCAAGGACATACATTCGTGGGCGATTTCGTGCTGACAGGCACGAGTGATATTATAACGTGGACGTAATTAATTAAGCCCGATGTTAGCGCGGTAATTCAGGCCGAATTTACTTATCAACATACGTCGGGTAGACCCGGTTAATTATGCGAGTATATTTTATGGAGGAGGGAGCCATATCGCGGAAGGATTGGGTAAACATTAATTTACAATGAGCGATATGTGTAGAATTAATTAGGTAAAAGAGCCGTGCGGCGTTTCCGTCTCAAGTCTCGCGAAATGTTTCAATATTCTTCTCAAAGAAAGATGTCAAATCACGCGTTAAAATTCACAAACAGATCATATAAACAATAAATACATAAATCTTTCGAAATGCATATTTAAGAAATATATTTGAAGTACGTCGGGATATCTGGTTTGTACGCTTGATTTATAGTTGACAGCATCCTGACGAAATGTGTAATATGTTTCTGCCATACATACATACACGTTTCAGGAGGCGTCTATGAGAGGCGAGGATATAATCCAACTTTGTAAACATGTATATCGCGCTGAATGAATAATAATTCCTGGAAATGAAATATCACGGTCGCGCATCCCCTACCAACTGGAAACAATTCTCATTCAGCGCGTTTGATAATTCACTCGTATTTAATAAAATGTTGATGGAAAAGTCCTCGCGCGCGGGACTATGCTGCACACATAGCTAAAACTTTTCTCTCCAAACTCGATACTGCCGGCGCATTCGGAACAATGTGTAACCAAAGTTACCGAAACGCGTTACGAGAGCTTTCTCTCTCTCTCTCTCGCTCTCTCTCTCTCTCTGAGAATCGACAGATTCAATGTCAAATTTGCGAAAGTACCATCTCGACCGGAAACTTTGTTTTTATTTTGTGCTCGAGACGCAGAATATATATATATAAATATATATATATATGTATGTATGTATGTATCTAGCCTCTCTCTGAGTTCACATTCACGGAATCATCCTTTTTCCGAAACTTGTCAGTACGTACGCATATTTGCGTGTTTTATTCATGAAATACGTGGCTGTCTCTATCGCATCGACGTGATAAGATCCGGAAATTGCATGTATGATGCTCCACCACGTAATCTTGTCGCCTTCGGAACGAGGCTCCCTGCAACGAAATGACGCAAACGCGATGTCTAGAATTTATCTAGCCTCGATATGACTGCCTCTCCATGCGGATAGAAGGTTAGCTATTTTCCGTCAGAATATCGTGATTGAGAGAGAGAAAGACTATGACATCTCGGGTTCCTCGCGTTTTCCAATTTTAAAACATGCGAAGGTGTCCATAACTCACGAGTTATAAATTCCATTAAACATTTCGAAATTTAATAATTTCAAGAGAGGGAGAGAGACTAATCATTAGGAGAATTTTATGAAAGAATTTTATTAAGCCAACAATTAATTTTTTTATTATCATAAAAGTCGTATAAACATAAAAGTCGTATAAACATAAAAGTTTAATTCCGCGAAATTTCCAAGAAATGTTTAAATGTAATTAATCGAATAATATTGATTTTACATACATTGCTTTT